TGTACCCGCCAGTTCACTCCTAGGGGGCGTCACCCCCTCTTTTAAAGGCTCAGGGGCTGCCCTGTGGCCTTCCCTCCCAAAAAAGAAGACAGTTTGAGGTTAAGGTTTTGAGAATTTCCGATGACGGAAATTGAAATTCAAAGTAGCCTGAGCTGTTTTCCTGTTCCTTAAAAATTTTTTAAATGAATGGTTCTAAGGCTCTTTTTTAAAGGAGAGGTTAAGTATTTATTTTTAAAAGGGAAAAAAGCGCTCGGTTGTCCATAGAGCATTTGTGCTCTTGGACAGGTCCTGTTCTGGCGTACACCCTGAAATATGTGAGGTCTAACCCCATTTGTGGTGTTTCCGTTCACTCCGATGGGGCTTTCTTGGGGGAAACGTTGTCAACGTTTTGGCTGCTGCACCCCGCAGTGCAGCTTTGGGATCACAGCTGCCGCGTTTAGGGATGGAGTGAGGGCAGCCCGTCGAAATCTCGCATTGGCGAGCCTGTGCAGTGGCCACGCTGTTCGATCCAAGGCCCAGCAGGGGACACACGCTCCCTGGAGGCCTTTCCCTCCACTGGACTCACGTGTGGCGCCTGGTGTCAACTTGGGGCCATTCGAAACCCGCCGAGTTCTTCTGCAGGACAGTCCCTGGAGCCTTTCCTGGGTGCCCTCCTGCTGAAGCCGTCCCACCTGGACGGGCCTCTACCTGGCCTCCAGGACCAGTGCTGGTTCCTTTCTCCTCTGAGAGCTTATGATGCTTCTAAAGGGTTGTATCCGGAAGTGCAGCAGCCTTGGCGTGGTCCCACTGTGTGTTTGAGAGGTGACGGAGGATTTGTTTCTTGTCACAGAGACTCCAGTTCTATTACTGCAGCTTAGGAAGTGCGTGCAGCCATGAGTCTGCACCGACACGCGACTGGGTACGGTAACCACTGCCGGCCCGAAGTTTCGGTTTCCCACGGGTTGCTGGGCGCCCATTCCTTCTGAGCACCTGGACACTCAAGTTTTGCATCATGATCTAGAATCTTGCTTAATTCACTGCTCTTCACAATAATCTCTTGGACTATGTCCTACAAGTCTGTCAGCACTTTTTGGATCTTACTTTGTCATCAGACGCATTTGCTCTGTTTCGTAAGGGGGTGTCACCTGCGGAGTGAAGGTCACCCTGTCTCATTCAGGCCGTGGAGCCAACGTGTTGATGTAGCACCACCTTACTGTTGGGGGCAGAAATACCGGAAGACACTCTTCCAAAGGAAGAGAAATTCATGTGTTGTGTCCCTGACGTCATGGGAGCTGCAAGTGCAGCTTTGTGACGCCATCTGTGGGTGTTTTCCTTTTAAACAGAGGACTTTGTTGTCAGACGCTGCCTCCGAGACATCAGGTTTTTCCGAAGTTAAGACAATTCTCAGAGACCTCTCCCCAACACACATTTTGAACGAATGATGTTTGTGTAGAAATGAATCTGGAAATCCTGCCTGAAGAGGAAGGAGTTAGTTACATGGAAATTACGGTCGTCACTTCACGAAGCGGCTTGCTGACTAGCCCTTTGAAAAGTGCTACGTTTTCTGTAATCATCTGACAGTGTGGCTACCAAGTCTGCAAACATTTGCATATAACATAAATGGTTTGTTGCTACTAGAGTGGTAGTAAAATAATTAATCATCTGTGTTTGCCTACTTTGTAGTCAGCCTGTATTATGTGATAATATGGATTTTAGAATAAAAAATTAAAGGTACTAGGACAGGATACTGCTAGATACTGTGTTTCCCCAAAAATAAGACTGGGTCTTCTATTACTTTTTGCTCCAACAATCTACATTTATTCATTTATTCATGTACAAAAATCTACATTTATTCAAAAGGTCATGTCTGGCTGATGATCTGAACTGGGGCTTACGTTTGGGGTAGGGCTTATATTATGAGCATCCTGAAAAAATCATGCTAGGGCTTATTTTCTGGTTAGGTCATATTTTTGGGGAAACACGGTAGGATAATATATAAGGTATTTCTTACTGGGACACAGCACGAGGGTGATGAAAGATTTGTACTTCCTTTGTTTGAGTCTTTTCAGACTCTTCACAGGGGCTTTTCAAAGAAGCGTCTGATGTGCCCCTGGAAGGTTGGCCCGGCCTCCTCCTCGCTTTGCGTCCACTCTCTCCACACACCTTGAGTTTCTAGGTCAGAGTGTCAGAGCTGCTTGCTCACCAGGTAGTCTTCAATTCAAATGAAGTTTATAACCTTTCTGATTAACTCAGATTTTTGGAGCAGCTTGAGTATAATATTATTGCCCATAAAGGGCACAGGTTCTTTCTTTAAAAAGTGAAGAGGCAATGGTGTGGTGAAATGCATGGGAAAACTGTGTGTGTATTTGCGACACATGTGCACATGTGTGCACGTATGCGTGTGCACACGTGTGGCACGTGTGTGACATGTGTACATGTGTGCATGTATGTGAGAGTGCATGCATGTGTGTGTCTGCGTGTGCACACACGTTGATGCATACCTAATTCAAGGAGATAGAATGGGTGAGTGGAAGTGCTGTTTTCTGCTGCTGGCTTGGATGGGCACTACTTAGGGAGAGCATTACAGTGATTTAGTCATCAAATGTCATGAGTGTTAGACACAGTGCCATGTTGTCTGTCACCACCGCTGACAGGTGTCCTGTGTAGCCACAGGTAGGCTCTCCCGTAGATGCACCCAGGCTGTTCCTCGGAAGGCCAGGTCAAGCACAGGGTTGTCGGACTGCCCCCTAGGCACCCTGCTGGCGTGTGCTGACAATGAAAAGGAACGGGGAAACGAGTTGCTTTGAAGTGGCGATTTTCCTGGACCCAAATACGAGGAAGGAATGGTGCTCCTAGAAGACATATCAGTTGACGATTGACAAAGCCAGCAGTGGAGATGTGTGCACACCAAATATGTGTGCTCAGAGCTCGGTCGGCCGCGTGGCACCCACAGGAGCCGCCAGCGCCACTCAGGCCCAGGATGCAGGGGTGGGTAAGGGCAGCCCTCCTACCCTTTGCCTCCACCGACTTGCTCCGTTAAAACTCTTCCAAGGAGGAGGCATCCAGGCTGGCCCCTGAAGCCGCTGGCTGAGCCCTGGTTTTCATGTTTTACAGCGAAGGGGGCTCCCTGTCACCATTGGTAAGCGGTTTCCCACTCAGGACGGGGTACGAGTGGTGGTGAAAATGTGTCTTTGTCTTTTTGTACCTGAATGAGGCTGTGGGAAATTGAGACCCTTGTGGGCAACCTCTTAAGTTTCTCCAAGGCTCATGGTCATGATTTGTCACGTGACAAGCCTGACACGATCTGCCCATAATCTCCACAAACAGGGTCTGTCGTGTGAGAGTGGTTTGATATTACTTTTCCCCGTTGAGGCACTCTGAGTTAGGATAAGGAAGAGCTTCTTGGTTCAGTTTCAGCTCATGTGACTGAGACCCTGTGCCGTCCCGTCACGTGCCCTTTGCTGGGGGGTGTCCGACGTTAGGGCCCTGGACGTGCAGCCGAGTGAACGTTGTGTTGCCACAGCTGTACTTTTCTCTAGTCGGTCTTTTTGTTTCTTGTTCTCCCACTGAGTGGAGTCACCATTGAGCCAACCTGTGAAAGTCTGGCTCAGGGAAGTGTCTGCGGGGCCACCGTTCCATGAAAAATTAGCCTTTTCTTCAGAGAGACCCTCAGACACAGAGAAGGCAGGCAGGCTGGCCGGTGCCATCGCATCTCTTTTCCCACCAAGACTGAGTGTCGGTTAGGGTCAGAGGGAGCGTGAGGCCAGCGCAGGAAGCCCAGGCCTCATTCCCAGCTGTCCTCTGGGCTCCCTGGGGACAGCACGGGCCACGCAGGTAGGGGCCTGGCGGGTGGGGTGTTGATGGCTCAGACCCCTGGCTCCTTGCCCTGCATAGTGGTGAGTGACAGGGGCCCAGCCCTGCTGGCTCCATGTCCCCACGCCTGGTCTGGGCCCTGTGTCACTCCGATGTGCCTGATGTGCCGCTGACATAGCCCACGATGGCTGGGCGAGCTCCCAGCTTCTCGGAGCCCCGCACACCTGACAGCCGCCGGGGTGGGCACGTCGCGGGAGCGGGTTTTAATTCCTTGTAATTTATGCTCGCTTGCGGCCCTGCGTGTGCTGGGCTGTCAGCAGAGCCCGGAGGAAAGCTGACAGTTGTCACCTAGGGCCTGAAGGTACCTCCCATCATGACGCATTAGACAGACTAATGATGTTTTCCTCTCTCCCCCCTGCCTCACCTGCACCCCACGGGCACTGCCACCCAGGGGTGCTCCGGACACAGGCCCGCCAAGGAGACTTCGTCTGCGTGGAGTGTGGGAAGTGCTTCCACCAGCCCAGCCACCTCCGGGCCCACATGCGGGCTCACTCAGGTACTGCCTGCCCTCGGCCCCTCGTCCTCTCACTGTCGGGGTACCCAGGGGCGTGGGGCGTGGAGCGTGCTCCGCGGGTGGTCCCATTGTCCACAGTCCCTGGCGTTCTGAGCCAGTCCCTCGGGCCCTGTGAAGTAAGGGGTGGTGCACCCCTTCTGTGGTTACATGCCAGACTCTCCCGTCCAGGCCCTGAAATGGTTTCTTCTTCGCCTCCAGTGCCATGTGGTTTAATCTGAGAGAAACCTGTTTGCAAATGTCCCGTTTTAATTAGAGTAGACTGATCAGAAGCAACTATGCTAATGAGCTGTGCTGCGAGCAGCACACACTGGAATCAAAGCCTGTTCAGGAGACACGTGCGGCTCGGTTTCCCCCCAGGCCCCTCGGACCGGTCAGTGATGGATGCACAGTCGCCGGCGTCTTTGTAGCTCACTGCTCGAGACCCTATCAGGCTGAGAGCAGCGCCTGTGACCCACACAGCACCAGGCAGAGCAGAGGCTGGAGGGCTCCTTCTAGAAGTGGGAAGGGTCACGCATAAGCCAGCCTGATGCAAAATGACAGGGGCCAAATGGCAAGTAATGCAGGAGGCCGGTCCCTTTACACACACGCTGATAATTACTGTTGTCAGTGACAGCTTTCTTCGGCAGGAAGTCGGAATTAAAAAGGGCAGTGGCCCCAGGCAGCACTATCACAGCGTCTTCCAGTAAGTGTGCCGGTAAATTGGTATTTACCAGCCCCGGGCTCAGCGCTGGCTTCTTTCTCGTGAAAGTGCTTCATCTGTAACGGCCCGTGCAGCGGGGCGTCGGAGGCAGCGCGCGTGTTGGTCCGCTAACGCTCCCCTTGTTCCCACAGTGGTGTTTGAGTCCAACGGCCTCCGAGGTGCGGACGTCCATGCCACCTCCACAGACGCCCCCAAACAAGTAGGTCTTCCGGCTGCTCGGAGGTTTGGGTTCGGATGAGGGTGCCTCCCCCACATCTGCAGACACCTTCACACGCTTTGTTAGAGCCCAGCCTTGGGGACAGCTGTAGGTGACCGAGAGACACGGCAGGCCGCCTGAGCCAGGATTTGCAGCTGCTTTCGGTCTTGCTGGGGGTGAGGGAACTGGCAGAGACTGGTGGAGCCTTAAAACACTAGACACCCATACTTTTCACCCGAGGTGTTTTTGCATACCAGTTTCCTTGAGAAGAAATCACGCCTCTCGTCCCTGTTCCTCAGCACAGAGTTTGTATTACTCCATAAGAGATGTTCGCCAGGTTTGGTGTTTCACGGCTGTGTCCTCGGCCCTCCGCTGTCCAGGCGCACGGCCACGATGCAGGAAAACACCCGTGTGTGTACACGCAGTACGTATAGATGACCGTGGACGTGTGGCCTTCGTACATGACCGTTGAGGGTCCACACAGCATGGCAGGACTCTTGGACACGAGTGATGGTGGCATGCAGTGTGCGGTTCTCGTAGAGGAGCACGCCCCTTCGTAGGTGGGCTGAGAACCGTGTTGCAGAGCCTCCTTTCTGTTCCTCCCGCAGAATGTCACGCCCGCCCTCTCCGTCTCCCGCAAGCATTTTCTGTACAATGTTCTTGCCTTTTTGCCAGTTGCCGTAGAACATTGTGTGACTGCAGACACTCCCCTTTGTAAAGGAAGAGGGGTTTCTTTGCCATCAGGGTAAACATCCAAGCCCCCGTCATGGGATCAGACCGAGGCAGCGTGCCCTGCCCCAGGTGGGGTCATGGCTGTCGACGTGGTGAGGGTTATTGAGACGTTAGGGGACCTCAAGCATCCTTCTAGTCTCTTTCCCCGGAAAACAATGGTAAGAGAGACACGTCTTTACCAAGGGCCCACCGTGAAGTAGTGATGGACCTGGGCCCAGGACGGAGAGTCCCCGATCAGGGATTTCCTTTTTGTGTTTTATTGCAGTTTTAGAATTACTATTTCTTGCTAAAAGCCTTCCTTCAGATGTCATCGACAAAATGCCTTGCCATTTGTTACCGTTTTTAGTGACTTCCCTCTTAACAAAACCCATAGTTTTAGAATGGAAAGCAGTCATTTCATGATGCTGTGACAGTTTATGAAATAAATAACAGCTTGCTGAATGTTGAATTAAAAGATTTTTGAACATGTGTGACCTCAGCTGGAATGAGGTAGCACTCTCCTTTTTAACAGAAACCAAGCCCCCCTGTGACAAGAGCCACTGCTGTGTTTGTGGGACGTAGTCACAGCAAGGTCATGCCATAATTGGAGAATTACATATTGAGATTACAACTGGAGTCAATCCAGAGGGTTCCTGCGTGCACAGGCGACCCATTAAATCCACNGCATACAAGTGCTGGTCTCTTACTGAGTTCCTGATGTTCTCCTGTGACTTGGGAACTTAACCCAGATCCACAGGTGCCTGGGCCACCTGGGTGTGACGTGCGATGCCCCTGGTTCACGGTTACCCTTAGCGGAAAAAACTAGGTGCTTTTTGACGAGGAGAAAGCACCAGTGTCTGGGCCCAGCGGTTGTGCCGGCGCAGTCCTTGGTGGAGGCTGGCGGCTGCCCCTCTCCTGAGCAGCGCTGAGCCCTGTGACACTCGCTCAGAGCCAGCACTTCCTGTGAATTTTCTAGAATGAAGCCGAGAGCCTGGATGCGCAGAGGCCCTGAGGGGCTTGATGCCGAGGTGTTTGTATGATGCAGTGAGCTCCGGTGTGTCCCGTTTACGGTTCTCGTCCCTTCTCCTGCACAGGTGCTCTGTGCGTAGGATACCTGGGCAGACGCCCCTGGGTAGCTGGCGGAGCGCAGCTGCTGTGTAGCCCGGTGTTCTCACCTGTTCAGATGGCAGTTACACGGTTGTGGCCACATTTTCCAGTCGTGTGGATTATTTGTTAGGAAATGGAATAGTGTCTAGTCGTTGGCCTTTTGGGTCTGACGTCAGCCTCAGTTCTTTAGAGACGGGTTTTCCTGGGCTCTGAAGCCAGGAAATTTTAGACACGAGAGGACAGGTGAGTGTCAGTGGGTGCCTGTGTTCCTGGTGACTGCCACCTTTCCGTCCAGCCCTTGCGCGTGACTCCACCCTCCCAGCAAGCGAGCTACACGTCTGCACGGCGTTTTAATGACTCCCTCCCAGTAAACGAGTTTAGCTGGTCCCATCCTCATAACCGGCATGGACTGCATGCACGTGTACCCGCCAGTTCACTCCTAGGGGGCGTCACCCCCTCTTTTAAAGGCTCAGGGGCTGCCCTGTGGCCTTCCCTCCCAAAAAAGAAGACAGTTTGAGGTTAAGGTTTTGAGAATTTCCGATGACGGAAATTGAAATTCAAAGTAGCCTGAGCTGTTTTCCTGTTCCTTAAAAATTTTTTAAATGAATGGTTCTAAGGCTCTTTTTTAAAGGAGAGGTTAAGTATTTATTTTTAAAAGGGAAAAAAGCGCTCGGTTGTCCATAGAGCATTTGTGCTCTTGGACAGGTCCTGTTCTGGCGTACACCCTGAAATATGTGAGGTCTAACCCCATTTGTGGTGTTTCCGTTCACTCCGATGGGGCTTTCTTGGGGGAAACGTTGTCAACGTTTTGGCTGCTGCACCCCGCAGTGCAGCTTTGGGATCACAGCTGCCGCGTTTAGGGATGGAGTGAGGGCAGCCCGTCGAAATCTCGCATTGGCGAGCCTGTGCAGTGGCCACGCTGTTCGATCCAAGGCCCAGCAGGGGACACACGCTCCCTGGAGGCCTTTCCCTCCACTGGACTCACGTGTGGC